TTTGCAACGCTTGACTCTGCATTGCAATGCAATGCAATGTTGCACGTTGTTGCATGCCAAAGTCATTGCGAAATTATGCACATTTACTAGAAGACTTTACGCTTGGTTCTGGCTCTTTTGCTTTCCAGAAAAGAAAAGAAATAATAACAGGCTTTTATTGTATGTACATATGTATGCGAGTGTGTGTCGCCAGATTATTGATGTTGCACGATGATTTGCATACAAGTTTCCTATTGCTTTCGTTGTTGTTGTGCAATATTTTCCAGTATGCCAGCAGCATATGCTTCACCACAATCAGTTGCAAGCCGGCAATATTTGTAGCCAAAAAAATGGAGAATAAACGAGAAAGATGAGAGAAAAAAATGTTGTTTCCTGTCAAGCGGTCGATAGGCGTTTGTTTGGCTCACTATTTGACTGCCAGTCTGAGCAGCGTCCTCTGCTCGGTTTGTTGTTTGGCTGCTCTGGTGCTCTGGCATGAGCCCATTAATGAAGTGGGTGGCTTTTTGATGACTTTCATTCCAATTTATTGTTGCAACATATTTGGCAGGACAGTGTGTTTGTGTGTGTGCCATATTCTTGGACACTTGCACTCAACACTTGCCACAGCCTCTCTCTATTTGCATGTTTGCAACATTTGCATGGCTGCTGTTTGTCGGTTTATCGCTCCGTAGGTTGTTGGCTCCTTTCGGTGTGCTCTTGTTGTTGCTTTGACGCACATTTCATTGCTGCGCTCCTCCCTCTCTCTCTCTCTTCGCTATGGTTCCAACATGGTGCCTGCACCACTTTTAACTGACAACACTTTCAATTTACGTTTCCCTTTGGCATGAATTGTCAAGCGTTGCACATTCATGTATCACACACATACCCAAACTAACAGTGTTATAAATAAACAGCTATATACTTAAATTGTCATACAAATACACAAATATATATGTATATGCGAGTATCTCTTTAAAAATGTACGAAGAGCACCCTTACATGTTCGCTTTTGTTACATGTCACTATTTGTTGCAAGTTGTTTCTCGTTTCTTTTGCTCTGTTTTAGCTGCTTTATTACGGTACTTTGTTGTTTTTGCTGTGCTTGTTGCTCTCAGTTGTTTTTGTGCCACATAATGATGCAGATGAAACTGAAAATGTGTCAGCATTGAAAAGAATCCAAAATGTGAGATGAGTGCTTTCGTATTCCGCTCTGTAATTGCGTGTGTTTTAATTCCAGCAAACCCGTGTTTCAAATACCCATCTTGATTATGTTGCATATTCTGTAGTGAATGCGGAATTTAGACAAATGAAGTACACTAACTTTGAATTAGTTAAAGAAGTAGGAGGCACATTAAAGCTTGCAATCCCATGTGGTTTTCATGTCTGCACTTAAGCGGGGTCTGAAATATAATATATGCCTTCTCGCCCGACATTGGAATTCTGTTTAAGCACTCTAGATTAATCAGAGAAAAATAGGCAAATAATTCATAGAACCATAAATTTGCTAAAATCATTTTGTGCATCTTCTCTTGGGGCTTGAAAGTCTCAGTCGACTACTCACTGTATATATAAGTGAAAAGTCACCGCTTCAGTTAGGGGAAAAATATGGCAAAAGTACTAACTCTTCTTCGAGATGAGTACTGAATCAATATCCTGTCCAGCATTCGAGAGTTTTGTTCATACGTAATATCCTCCGTCCCTCTGTGCTTAATTAATATTTAATATCCCTTCCAAGCCGTTTTATCGTTTGCGCTCTCGCTCCTTGGTAAGCATCGCCATATACATGAGTACATTAAGATCAGAAAGTATCCGGATATCGTTTATTTCGATATTCGCGGTTTGGTTCATCTCTAATTCGTACCAACGGGACGGACGGACAAAGCAGAATATTATGTGAGCGAGGGGCTTGCGCGAAAACAGCTGTCATAAACGACCGGAATTGTGGGCCAACAATATCCGATCAACCATTGTATTCAGCGTTTTTGTTTCCAAAACTCAAGTTACCGCTCCGTGGAATCAATTTTGTTCCCATTGAGGTTGTAAAAGAAAATTTGCAGAGAGAAGTGATGTTGGCTGATTTCAACAGCTACTGCAAACATATTGTACTATTTGACAGATAGCGCTCATTTTTGGCCGAATAAAAAATGACAGTGCTACCAACTTAACAAATAAAAGTGCGGGAAAATATTCAGTGCAGTCAGCTTAAAGGCCAATTTCCGGCCACTCTCTATTCACAATGTAACCATCTATCTTACCTTACCAAATCCAAAAATCCAGCCGTTCTTAGAAGTCGTTTAACAATTGCCCCGGACCGTGCACAAATCGCCACTCTCATCAATACAGATCTTCATTCTTAGCTCTCCGTTGTTTTTTTGTTGAAGTTTTTGCGAGTCACCAACTATCCGGTTGAGCTTATTGCCATATAAATGGAGATCTCTAAACTCTCCAGTCGCTAGTCAAGCTAATGTGAGCTATTGACAAGATCAAGAAACTGAAGTTTTTTTCTAAAGGTTGCTACCCCTAAAGTTTCTATCTTTCTTGTCCAAATTGCCCGACATTCTCATAAGATATAGCAAAAGGTTTAAGGTTCTTCTCAGAACTCTCTTATCTCTTTCTGTACATAACGTCTCCATCTAGGATAAGCATACGTTATGGATAACTCTTTAAGATTCAAGGTTGAGAGCTGCAAACTTATTCATGATTTCAAAACTAAGGCAGAAGTGCCCTTATTTATGAGCTGATTCCCTATCACACGGTTCGTTACTTTGTCCCAGCACAGCGCTTATATATATGTATACAAGGTTGAGAAAAAGCCGCTGAGCCGTCGAATTTAGTAACCTACGACAAATCTAAACTGATTTTGGTTTAATTTATTCCATTCGGATTATTTTGTGCCGGTCGACTATTCAAAATAGTGGAGTTAAATTAACGGAGAGCAAGCTAATACTCAGACGATTTACAGTCTCGCATATAAGCGGCCGTTTCGACTGCAAAGCCAGGTGTAATCCGATTGATGAAAGAATTTGTTTGTATGCTTAGAGTATTCCTTTCACCATTGATTCTTTTATCTACAATAGTATCGGTCTATCCATATGAAAGTTAAATTAGCTCGCTCCTCTTCTGACTACGAGCATATCTCTGATATCCAATAGTCTTACCGCCCTCTTTGAAAACTCTTTTCGACAGAGAGTGCTAGATCTTTGCACCTAAATAGCATAGATAGCGGTATTAGTAAGAACAAATTGGTGGTAAGTCAACGGAACAGGTGATTTCAAAAAAAAAAGGAGTGTTAACTGCCACAATAAATGTCTTGTAGTATAGAGAAACCGTTCTCTTGGTTGAGACGATCTCTTAGTTGACATATACTGAGTAAACCCCATAACAAGTAGGATAAACCTTGAGAATCTTTTAAACATCCAAGAAAAAGTCACATAATTTCGTATTTAATAATGTTACATTTATTTTATATTTTGTATATAATATATAGTATGTATGTATTCATGTAAATTTAAATTAAGGCAATATTTTTCATAAATAATTTTTATGTAAGATAAATAATATTTATGTAAGAAGCGTAGTTCATGTATATAGTTTCTGTAGTGCAGCTTGATCATAATTATAGATAGTCTGAATTCCTCTTCCTTTAAAACGGCTCAATTCCAAAGATGGGTACAAATTTCGGACATTCAAATACTTTTTCTTTTTCTCCGTTTTCACTTTTATTCTTTCCTTTTCCGTTTTCCTCTCCGTTTTGCTTTTCTTTCTCCTCTTCATTTTCTGTCCCGGTACTATATGGCAAGACTAGTATGCTTGAATGATCATGGTTAGGGTTGTAGAAACACAATGGACATTTGGCGGAGTCCTCACATGAATCTAAGATACCCATTTTAAGACACAAAGTAACTTTGGCGTTCGAAAAATTTTAAATGTTAAATATATTTTTTTTAATTTCTATATTTTTCTTGACTGCGTGTAGATTTGTGCTATGCACGACTGAAGTTCACTGACTGATACATAAAGTGTTATGCGCACGTCTTTTATAGTCGAGATCGGGTAGTGTTTCAGTTGAATTTTCTAAGAATAGTTGTGTTAACATATAGTACATATGTATCTATTATATGTATACGACGAGCGGGTTGGTAACAGTTTCATATGGGCGTATTTGTAGACGAACATTTTACAATGAGTAGCATTCTATTTTACGGACGATATTTGCATATTGTTTAAACAATGGAAAATATAAATATTTTAGGTTTTAAAGCGAATGATCCCAAAAATATTTTTCTTTCGATTTAGGAAAATCTTTGCTCAAAATAATTTATTCAATTCTTGGAAGGTTGGGCCCATTGTATTGTCGCTAAGCCATTATAATGAAGGTCGCACAGCACATTCACTCTGCCATGAAGTCGCTGGTTGTGTTGGCCTAAGTAACGTCATATTTCACGCTACCTTTCTCCCTCTATCTCTTGTAAATACATATACAGTTGGCAAATGACTTGGCAAATATTTCGTACTTTTTTCTTTACCCTCACGAAATAGTTGGATAAAGGCGCAAACGAGGGCATTGCTTACGCGATCTTTCAGGGGCAAATAATTTATTTTAGCCTCTGGGCAGATTTCAAAACAAATACAAAGAAGGATGTAAATTTTGAAACAAAGATTATTTAACACAAAAAAATTTTCGATTGCAAAAACATATTTTTTCGCGAAAGAAATTCATTTGTCGAGTAATTAAGTCTTTATTTTTATAGCTCAAAATTTTAAAAATTTCAATTTGTCTTTTAACAAAAGAAAGTTGCAGAAATATTTATTATTATTGTCGAAATGGCAACTCTTTTAACAAAATTATTAGTAACTTAATGCCTGAACGTCCTCTCTATAGTGTTACTCTCTCGCTCTGAGCGTATTTTCGTTTCCCAACAATTCTCCTCGTACTTTGGGAACAAAGAAAAAATCACTCTACCCTTCTTTTAGACTTCAAATCTTATTTTTATTATTTGTTTTTAGTTTTATTGCTTTTCGAAACATTGTAAAAATTATTTGCTGGTTTTTATTGTTCATTGTTAAAATGAGTACAGTATTTATGTAAGCAGAATATCTGAGAGCGGCTGATAAGTTCGCGGCCTAAAGTACTTATGGTGCAGACAGGTATATGGTTTTATGTTTTTTTGTTGTTCAATATATGTACATACGTACATATATACATACATACATATGTACATATCTACAAACGAGGTGTGTTCAAAAAGTATCGCGAGTTTCGAATTTTCGCGGGTTACGTATAATCGAATTCAGATTTTTTTGTGGCGTTATGTTGGTACTCATGTCTGTCACTTATACCGGCAATCTCGGCCATTTTGAATGTTCACTGCTTTGCTTGCACGTATTTTGGATGGTCTTCGATTTTTACCTATTAAAAAAAATGGATCAAAGAACCTGTATCAAATTTTGTGTGAAAACCGAAATTAAGTGCGCGGATGCATTCCGAATGTTGACTGTGGTATACGGAGAAGCTACCTTGGACCGAAGCAACGTTTATCGGTGGTACAAAATGCTGTCAGAAGGCCGAGAAGATGTGAACGACGAAGAGCGTGCCGAACGCCCGAGCACTTCAACAACAGACAGTTGCCACGGGGTAGAACGGTCAATAAGCAATATTACCTGAACAAAAATTGGCTTTTGCACCACGATAACGCCCCTGCTCCTGTTGCTTGTGCGCGACTTTTTGGCCAAAAACAACACAAAAATAATGCCGCAGCCACCGTATTCCCCAGATCGGGCCCGCTGTGACTTTTTCTTGTTCCCTAAACTGAAGAGGCCCATGAAAGGACGACGTTACGCTACGATTGACGAGATAAAGACGGCATGGAAAAAGGAGCTGAACAAGATAAAAAAATGATTTTTTAAAGTGCTTCGAAGATTGCAAAAACCGTTGGCACAAGTGTACAATATCTCATGGGGATTACTTTGAAGGGGACAAAATAGATATTCATGAATAAATAAATAATTTTTGAAAAATAACATCGTGATATTTTTTGAATACACCTCGTAGTATATTTCAAGGGAAATATGAACATTTTTCGCATTGTGATTTCATTTGAGCAGATTTCTTTTCAAAATATCGCTTTCATCTCACTGTCGTTTTGAAAATCTTCGTTCCTATCTATTCAATACGACTTCCTCGGGTAAGTTATTAATTATTAATATTCCCTCGCTATACCAGAAAATTATAGGCCTTATCTTCGACGCCAACTTTTCCACTTTGAGTTTTTTGGTGGTCTTTCCCCTTTTATTGCTACTCCACCGACTCCTCTTTGGACTCTAAATTTCATCTGTTGTTACTGGCACAACTTCAAAAAATTTTTACAACTCTCTGACCGTCACTGGGATCCACGGGCAGAGATCATCTTCACAGGTTTCTCGCCCTTCCGAGTCCCTTTTTTCGCCATCGTTTATGAAGTGGCCAAAGTAGCCGTGTGGTTATCACTCTATACCACCAGTCATTGTATTTAAGTACGAAAAGTGTAATACAACACAGTGAGGTCAAAACTGACGCCAAAACAGCATAAACTCTCCACAAAAATTGACAGCACCTGGTACAGAACTTTGAGATTTTGCAAAAACTGGAAAAACTGAACCCAAAAACTGGATGGCTCTTATGGCTGCTGCAAACGCCAGAATAATTATGTGCCGAGTGACCTTGGCTGTTTGACAATGGATCCAAGAGGTCGTCAGTATAACACACACGCTCATTGCCTGTAGACAATATGAATTTCGGAACAATTATTGGTAAACAGATTTGAAAACAAAACAGCTTCTTACTAAAATTTCATACGCAAAGGCATAATGCTTAGGTACGTCGGCGCAGCAATCCTAAAATTAGCATGATGTTGTGTTTTTATTGCTTTCCTTCCTTTTCATGTTTACAAATATGCGGTTTTCTCTACTGCGGCCTTACCAATATTTGAGATTTCGCCTTAGGTGTTAGGTGAGATGTACATCTGACTTGGTTATTTATGGTTCTGTAGGAACGCATTCTGAATGAGCACTGTTGAATGACTTTATGAGGAAGTATTGATAAGGCCGAAAGGTGCCTCATACTGACGATGGTTCGAGATGGCTGAATAATTGTGTGATCGCAAAGATTTCGATTAAAATATACTGTATACAGATCAAGCAGCACCATTGTTGTGGGACTTGAGATAAAATTTATTTTTATTATCGATATTTTTTTTTAGCAAAAACTGATTTCTATTGAATTTTCAGAAACCTTTAATGAATTTTACATTCACATTTGGCTAATTTTTTTTTTCACAAACAAGCGTAGAGAAAAATTGTTTCAATAAGAAATGTAAATATTTTGTTTACCAAATTCATTGTCTCGCATTTAGTTTTTCAGCCCATTTTAACAACAACATAGCAACAATGGCATTTCTATGCTGAGTAAATTACAAAACAATTTTTGCTATTATTTTTTTTTTTGAATATTTAATAGTTCGAAAGAGAAAATTGAATTTCAATTATTTGTAAGATATACACAATTAAAAAACAGGCAAAACAAGTGCAAATCCAACTGAGTGGAATAAGAATTGTTTGCTTAAGAGGTTCCTCGTATACGCACGAGAAGCTTACAAAACTTATACTAAATGCACATGCAATTTGCAGCAATAAAACAAAGTAAACTACTTGTGTTCTAATACACATACACATACTTATACAATACATAGAAATATTTATTTGAATATGCAAATCACTGTGTATTTACATGTACATTTCCAAGCTCAACTGCACACTTAAATACGGGTACATACATACAATACATACTCGTATAGACTGAATTCGCATGCGTGCGCCTACTGCCTACTGCCAAAACTGTATGTAAACAGACTTTTTTAATTACAGTAATAATAGGCCAATAAATCTAGACAATTGCGTACATGTCAAAATATTAGAACAATTGTAAATTGCAAATTGTAAATTGAACTGCAAATTTTGTTAGGCGCAAGAAATTGCAGACATTTTATATGTATTGAAATTACATTTGTTTGCATATATGTAGTATATAATAAAAATATATATCAGTTACATAAGCTTAAATGCGCATTGAATGTGGTTTGAATATATAAAGATATGCATCTCCTCTTTACATATATACATACATATATAAATATATTTACTTATTATATTTTATTCCAAGAACTCTTCATGGCAATGGAGTTAGTTGAAATGCGAGCTGAGCTAATTTAATCTCATTTTTTTCAATACGGTGCAGATTTAACTTACAGGTCTCCGAAATATAAGTTTAAAAATAATAAGAGTAATAAACTGATTAAAAAACTCAATACACTTTTGAAGAGTAGATAAAATATTCGAACAAAAAAACATTGTTCACACAGGCACTCAATTACCTAATTGAACAGCACTTAATATCTCTAGCAGCAACCCAACGTGAGCACCAAATTGAAAGACGTGTCCACAAGAGTCGTGTAGTTAAGATTGAGAATTCATGCCCTGGTCTACATCTAAAATTATAGCGTATTAATTTTTATAATTGTGGTCATTTCTCGGCATGTCAAGAGCTCCGAGCATATTTCCTACATTAAAAGTCGAAGATTCTTCCAAAAATCGGAAGATCGGAAGCAGTTTATAATAAACTGTAGCTGCCTCCATATTTCATGGAAAAACATCAGAGGGGACCACACAAATTGGAGGGGAGTATCGGCAGAATATCGCCTGAGCGGTTACAGATTTCCTGTTAATGTTTCAGATAAAATATGCATAGTTGGTCTGCTTAGGCATTACCTAAGCCGAAGTAGGCGAGAACCAACTCAACACTGGCACTAAATTGCACATTGAAAGCACCGCCAGTTCATAGCCATAATCTTCAAAATAATTAGGCTTAAGGCATCGGGGCGCCTCAACTGGTTGGGTCTGTGTTTAAAAAAATGGGAGTGGCTAAAACTAAGCTCAGATACAGGAAATTTGTTTTATATACAGAGGTTTTTATTGTTGCTTCTGTTGTTGTGTTGTTGTTGTCACTTGGTAGTGACTACTGAGGTAGCCGAGGAATCTTAATGTCAACTTCATAAAAATTCAAGAGCAGAACCTGGCATATCATCATAAGATCAACAAGAGTGAGAGCAAATTGACCTTATGTAGCCCTAACTGGCAACACTGGAATTGACATGAATCATTTGTTACCCGACGATCAAAAGCCACGCCCATTTTCTCTCTCTCTTTCTCCCTCCCTCACTCTATTTTTCCCTCCCGCACTTTCTATTTCTTCTCAGCCAAGCAGGGTTGCCTTACAGAGGTTCTTTAAAGGACAAGACGCAGTAAATGATAACTTTTTTTTGGTTCCAAAGTCAATTATAATAGAATTGAAGTAAATGAAATAGGTTATTTTCTGCGAAGCGCCGATCAAAATCTGGCCAAAATGTAGCATAAGGGCACATGCCACTTCATCGACATGAGAGCTGTATCTTGGTTTATATAAAAAAAGAGATGACAAGGCTGAGTGTTTTTGAATAATGCTACAGCTGGAAGCCTCTACAAAATTTATCATAGTGACCCTAAGCTGCAGAGACTCAATTCGGGCGAGAGCCTGTGATTGTAAACGCAAAATATGAATATCGAATTATAAAACACTCTTCATGCATACATACATACGTAGCTTCACAGACGTACCTTTGCTAATACAACTACTAGCCAGAGCAAAAACGGGCACATGCCTGGAATCAACGGAAACCGCATTGCAACAACAATTGTCGATTTGCAACGGAGACGCCTGATAATTGCAGTTATGTGACCCCATTACCTGCACCAAAGCAATGCAAAAACGACACAAATAATAAATGCATAGTTATTTGCAAAATACACACACACATGCACATACACACACGCGTGTATAGAGATGCAGGCAGGCATAGGAATGCATAACTAGAAAGTGCCTAACAGCATAGACGGTTACATATGTATGTATGCATAAATGTATATATGTATGTATGTATGCACAAAAGATGCACTTTATTGTATTGGAGTGTCAGCCGGAGTTATTAGTGCAACTTTGCTGTTTGGTATGTTATCATTGTTGCTATTGTTGTTTCTGTTGGTTGTGTAATTTTGTGTTGGAATTTACAAAATGAATGTGCATATTTTCAGCGTACTAGACATTTGCATACGCACTCACTTATGTACATGCACATATGCATATATACATATATATATATATACGTCCTTGCAAATGGAGTTATGCGAATTTTGCTCTAAATGCTATTAAGCACAGCAAAAGAGTTGCAACGAATGACTTTCTGCCGGCGTATAAATTTTGCATGTGCAAAACTACAAGTTTATGTATGTTAATATATGTATGTATGTAGGTTTGTTGGCAAGCTGATTGTGTCTACTGTGCTGCAGCTTTACTCCTCATCGCCAAGCAGTTCATTGCAAAGCAAAAACATTCCACTGTAATTAATTTCAATATGGTAGCATATGTTTAGGAGCTACGTAGATGTTGTTGGAAGGCAAAAAGAAAAAAGTTGGAGGAAAAAACCGGAAAGGACATTGGAGCTAACAGCGGTGGCAGAGACATTTACATACATACATACATATCGTAAAATATGCAAGTATTAGGCTGCAACTACCCAACTCACTCTCCAGCCGTCCATAACTGACGACGTTAGTAGTGAAATACATACACGAGCTATCGACGCTGCTGAGAGCGGCGAAATGTTGCCAGCTGCCTGTGTGTTTGCACACTTTTGAACAAATTCATAATTTTCGTCAACGAATTTCATAATTTATTTGCTTTAACATAAACACAAGGCAAATATACATGATCTATATAGTAACAAATAATTAGTTACGCATTTAGTTTTCATTTCTTTTGAACAAAACTACGCATTATCTTCGATTATTTAATGTTACTTTAAAAAAGGCTATACTGGCAACCTTGTATAGCAACGAAAAATGAGCCGAGCCGGTTTTACGGAAAAATCAAAACTTCGTTGGTTTCTGCGACACAAACGTCAGCAACGCTATGGTAAATCGGTGACAACTTTGTGTTTACATGGCGCTCTCATAAGATAGGTTACTATGTACGGCTGGTACGCGCGTTGGGTAGTTGCAGCCTTAATCTAGCAACTGCAAAATTTTATACCGAAAGAGAGCGAGAGAGTAAGGGGAGAGAGGGGGAGAGGGAGAAAAGGACTGAGAGAGTTGGCTGTGGTTCAATTAAAACTCACAACTCCCAAACAGCACTGCTAAGTTACTCTGCTGCTTTCCACTCTCCACTAAATTCTTCTATTCCGAGCGTCCCATCAGCAGCACAAGCAACAAATTTCATTCGCCAGGCCTATGCTTTTGGATTTTTCTACATTTACTATATCTTCTAATGTATTGCTTACTTCAAATGCTGTTTTTGTTGTTATTATTATTATTATTGTAGTCATTGTGGCATATTCTTTGCTTATTTTTAGAGGAATACTCCATTTATGCATAAATTCATTTGTATTTTGGTATTTTTATGGCATACCATGGCTACGGTGGTACTCAAACCTATTTACTTTAATACATACAAACATTATACCTATACATATCTACACACCTTATGATATATGATATTATGAATGCCAACTAATGGTCGGAAATATTATTGCGACCGGTCGTAGACTTGCTTGTACTAATATTTATACGTATATGTGTGTACACATATATACATCCTTATTTGGCATTTATTAGTACTTGGCAATTTATGTTCGCTGAAGTATGTTGTCTGTTATGTTTTGACCTCAATTTTGTCTTATAAATTATTGCACAAATACTTCACCAAAGTTGGCATTAAAGGTGCTGTAGCTAATGTCGTATTAGAGATTGGCAGGTTTGGGGGTTTTTTGGGCAAGACTTTTATATTAGGTAGAAGAGTTAAGCTGCAGCTGGGTACTTTGAAAATGAAATAGAGTTAAAAAATTTGTCTAAACAAAGCTAAACATTTTTTTTTACTTTCTGCCGGTGTATAAATTCTTCATTACTTTTCATTTATAAAAAAATTAAATATGTACAGATTAGCATTTATCCGTATGTGTTTTTAAAATGTTGTTATTGACTTTTCAAAAAAAATCTAAAAAATTTTTTTTGAAATAAAAATCACCAAAAAAATTTGAAAAGTTACTTGTATAAAAAATAAATAATTTAAGTTATAAAAAAATGAAACAAATTTAGAAAATAAGTTTTTTCTATACACCACCTTGTTTTTTTTTAAAGATATTGAAAAAATAGTCCTTATCTCTGTATCTCTATCTCTATCTCTATCTCTATCTCTATCTCTATCTCTATCTCTATCTCTATCTCTATCTCTATCTCTATCTCTATCTCTATCTCTAACTCTATCACTATCTCATCTCTATCTGTCTATTTATTCCACTTTCCGTCTATCTGTTAATCTATCTTTCCTCCCTCTGCCTAAGTGTAAACCAAATTCTGCCTTTCTCTTTCTTACTGGTAGTCTATCTCTACGATCCCCCCTAAGCAGAATATACAACGACTTTGGCATTTTCTGAAAGTACTCATTTTCGTTATATACAAAAATTTAAAAGAGAAGAAAAATACAGAAAAAGAAAGATTATCATCAAAGCTAGGGTTATGACCAAATGGTTTACTCTGCTCTCATAATTTCAGTCACGTGAAAATTGGCATTTAAACATATTTTCCCGCAAAATTGCGAAATTTCTTCAATGCACTTTCCCTTAGAATGTACAAATATTCGTTCATTAAAACAATTTAAATTGCACCCCTTTTTCAGAAAGCTCAGAATTCATTGTCTCAGGGGCTGAAGTAAAAGCCAGCACGAATCTACATATGTAAATTCCCACTGGAACATTTGCATTTAAAAATAAACAAACAAAAAAATAAATGCGAGTAGAAAAACATGAATTGAGCGACCGCGAGCGAGTTCAACGTGTCAACAAAGTGTCGTCAGCGGCAATGATGACAGCGATGGAGGGGTGTCAACAGTCTATTCGTCGTCGTCTATTGACCTCACATTAGTATTGCCAGCATTTGGTGAATGCGGCGACAACAACAGAAACTAAAATTATACTATAGAAAGTACACATGTAGAAGAAGCGCAGCGTAGAAGGGTGAGAGGCTCGATTAGAATGCTTTAATATAAAAAAATAATATAAAATATGATGCACCACACATATGGTTAAGGTATGAAAGTCACATCGGCACTACATGGGTATGTGTATGGCAATAGAACAGTGGCACGCGGCGGAAGTCAGTTGAAGGCAGGAAGATCGCTTAACTTCCTGGTTCACATTTCAACACATGTTGCGGCCAGCACAACACATGTGCCCCAAACACTGCAAGCGAAAACAAAGTCGATGAAAAGTAGACGAAAATGTATGTTTGTAGTGAATGAGAACACTATCTACATATGTACAACAACGTACAATACAAGCAAGCGAGCATCTAAATGTGTATAAAAACAACAGCGCATTTTGTCGTGAGGTCAAAGTGTGCCACTGTCTACTTACCAGCATTTGTGCTGACAAAGGCGAGTTCAAGCGAAAATGTCCTACTGTGTTTTAAACAGTCCATAGTGCAAAAGCGAATAGAGAGAAACAAAAAAACAATAAAAAACTAGTTACTCGTACGTTAGCACTCACCACATATTACTTACATAAATTAAACAATTTATTTAAATGCAAATGTCTGGCGCAGCAGTGGTTCCCTCACACTAACACATGCATTCATACATGCATATATATGTACGTACATGCGTTCATATGGCTTTGTTTGCTCTACCATTAAATCGTCGTTGAATGTCGCGTATACGCACTGCTGTCCCCAACTGGTGGCCACACATTTGACATGCATACATATATTTTTGCATAAATACGCTCAAGCATATAACACAAAAATCTATATATGTAAATTCCAGCAGAAATTAAAATTTTGTGGTTTGTTGTTGAAAAATAGTGGAAAATGCAATGTGGCATAGCGGATTTGTGGTTGGAGAGAAAAGTTAGGGAGAAAAAATAAGTAAAAAACAAATAATAAGGAATAAAACGCTTGCGCGTCCACGTCTCTCTTACATGGAGTACGTGTGTGTGTGTTTAAGTGTTCACAGCACTCAAAATAATCGTATGCAATGAACTTTTATTCAACATGCTATGACATATAATTGTCTAACATACAATATACATATGTATGTTAGCACGTATGTGTATGTGGCTTTAGCAATTACATATATACATATGTATGAGTTATAGTAAATTACGTTGCATTATGACAATTGGAATATTAAACAAAATGCCACCAGACGTTGCATTCACTAAGCGGTTGGGTGGCACACGGGGGGAAATTAGATTTATTCATGCTTGTAAATGCACAGTGGCGTGAAAGTACTATTTTGCAAAGAAAAATTAATACTTATTTGGAGAAATATTTTNATATATAAATATAAATTGACTTATTTCTTCGCATATATCTGCTTTGGTCACTCTTACGCGCCAAAGACAGTTTTGGGTCAAGAAAGGTAATATAATTTTTTTTTATTTTTCTTAGTTTTGATTTTAATTATTTACTTTTTTCAATAAATTTGGTAACTAATTTTTTCAATTATTTTTTTTAATATTTAATTGTTTACTATATATTAATCCATTTATTATTTTAAATTATTAATTTAATTTTTATTTATTTTTCAACCATTTATGAATTTTCAAATTTTCGATAATATCATTAACTGTTTATTTTATTTTTATACTTGTTAATTTATTTATTATACTTATTTATTTTTATTATTTTAATATGTATTTATTTCTTAATTTTATTTTAGTATATTTTTAGCTATTTTTCGAATCTAATATTAATTTCTTTTTCTTTAATCTTTTTTATTTATGAATTTATTTACTCATTAAATTTGTTATAACCTTTTCTTTAGTTTTCTCAAACTTTGTTAATTATGTAAACAAATTTTATATTTTTTATTCATTTATATATCAATTTAATTAGTGATTTAAATGCTACATTTCTTCACAAACTTATTCAGATTTTTATTTTGGGTTTATTTATTAATTAATTTATATGTTTTTTTCTGAATTTAATTACTTAAGTTTTAATTGATTTTCCTTCACTATCTTATTTAATTTATCTACAAACTTATATACTTACTCTGTGAATTAAGCTAAGACTGTCCTCAGACCTAGGTGCTCCCTGACAGATCAGATAATATAGAACAGAGAACCCGAGCAAACATAAGGTGAATAATAAAAACTTTTCCGGCGGAAAACTGTGGTTTCTTTTAAGTCTTTGTTAGCAATACATGACTGACATAGTGAAGTATTTATAAAATATCTCTCTCCACAGCTAAGCATTGAAATCCGTCTCCTCCTTTTCGCCATTAAATTTATTTAATTTGGATTGGTTCAGCGAGATATTGAATGATGACAATTCTCATTGTAAAACATGTATCGTCAGCATTTATTTGTTTTGTCTGGTTACCAATGCATACATACATACATACATAAAGGGGTTCATCTACTCGGGGTATTTATACCACAACTCTAACGCAAAACTGTAAATGTCACATTGTTTGCATTATAGCAGGCTTGCTTACTGACACATATATAATATATATGTATTGTATGTTTGTGTATACATACATACTTTCGTTGTTTAGAACAATGATGCACCCACAATAAAAGTGCTTGCATATTAATGTGCATCATTAATAAATGTACAGGTTTTTATGTTTTTACAAATTAAAATATATGTAATTGAAAGTATGGCTTACATACGTATATATGCCAAACAATTATACGTTGTACTCCCTTATTTTAAATATGTCGTATTTTCATTGAGGTTCCGGAGCGTTTTTGTTTGGACTTCGCCACAGCTTGCTCAATATATTTAAATCTAATAGAGAATAAAATTTGTTTGTTCTAGTCTCTCCCTTCACAAGAGAGTTAGAAGCCATCCTTTAAAAACAAAATAGTATAAGTCATAGTTCTTTCACTGCATAAAAGTCGTTAACATAATATTTAAATTTTTTGTACTTACCCCATTATTTAAATTATATGCATATGTGAATTTAAAAAACATATACATAAGGGTATTAGTAATACTTATATTTATCTTTATGCATAATTATTTACTTGTTAATTTGGTGTAAATCCTTTCTAAACCAATCAAAATATGTCATACGCTTATCTTGGCACATATCAAGCTCTCTCCATTGAATAATCGTTTAAGCCACCTTAATTTGCCTGTCAATCATTGTAACGACTTAATCGTGTGTGACAAAACAAGCGAAATATTTTGAACGGTTATGATTTCGTTGAAATGCATTGACAGAATTTTGAGCTACGCACGAAAGGGAGGTGAAAAAAATCAATAATTTTACTATATACTTAAATGGAAATCAAATAGAATAAATTAATATATAATTTAATATAATCATTAAAAAAAATTAAGATAAGTTATGCTGTTATGAAAAATAAAATAAATTTAAATAAAATAAAATAAAATAAAATAAAATAAAATACAATAAAACAAAAATAATAAAATAAAATATAATAAGATAAAATGAAACAAAATAATTTAAATTTTATAAAATGAAACAAATTAAAATAATAAAAAATAAGTTGGAATGAAATAAAATAAAGTTAAAAAATGAAATAATGTAAAATAAAATGTTATAAAATAGTTTAGGACTTTTTATTTTAATTATAGTCTAGCCCATTTCGACTAAAAAACACAATAATATTTTTATTTTTTTAAATTTGGAAGACTGCAGACTCAACGCCTTAAGGAAGCCGAAAAGTTTTTATCTTTTTTTTTTAAGTATTTGTAAAACTAAAGAATATTTCCACATCTGAATGCGAGCAATTTGGTACTTCAAAGTCATTTACCTTGTTAAAAGTTACTTGAGTGTAAGCACGTACATATGTACAAAAAAAAGTGTACAATAAAGTCACAACATGTAAGACTCCATATTTGCAAAATTCAAACATTTACCCTTACATACAAATGAGGACAGGTATTTAGGAGAATTGATTTTTGGAAGTAATTGAAGAAGATTGAAACTTTCTTATACTTTTTATTTGGAATTTTCAAAATTCACTTCCTGCTTTACCCCATGACAATGCTAATTCCCCAGGCTTTTTGTCTAGGCGACGCGCGTGTTAAATCGTTCGATGATGCCAATCAAAAGGATTTGCCAGGTTCAATAGAATTTGCAGTTAAACACATACTCCTCCCATACATTTAAGCAGTTGTACATACGAGTATACATACTTATGATTTGGATTGGTTTCGCCAAACTCTTCGCAAGTACGTGCACACGTGCATGGAGGTGAAAAGGTGCTAAGGCTATTACATAAGAATATAATTTCAGTAATGACTTTTAATGATTACCAAAGTTGTTGCTTCATTGCACAAGAGATTGCCATTTACCTTTATATCTAAAATGTTATATTGTTTTTTTTTATTTAATTAATTTGCCTAAATTAAATATTTTATTTAAATTTAAGGATTTTTTTTAAATTTATTTTATTTAAGCCCCAAATAGGTTCTATTTTAATTTGTTTTATTTTATTTATTTTTTGTTCATTTTACTTTGAAGTCTTTATTATATATTACTTTATTTTATTTATGTTATGTTATTTTGTTTTATTCTATTATAATTTATATTAATTTAATTTATTTTATCTTATTTTACTTTATTTTGTTTTATTGTTTCATTTTATTTTATTTCATTTAATTTTAGCTAATTTTAATTTTTTGTAAATTTTATTGCATTATTTTTTATTAACCTTATGCAATTTAATTTGTTTTATGTTTTTTTTTTACTTTATTTTACATTAATAAATAAAAAAGTTTATTTTTTTCTTATTATTTTCTATTTTCTATAATCCATGACTACATAACGGTGTCAGCGACAGTTACACCGCTTTCACATTTGCAATATTAATCTGTTAGTGTTATGATAATTATTTGCCTACCGCCATCGAATGCACCTTTCACATTTGCTCCGACTGCTCGCTATCCTCCGGTGGGAGGGTGAAAATATGCTCTCCGCTGCCTTTAGGAAGCATGGCTTAGCATTTCATTGCCACTGTGGAATCATCCAGCGCTCTTAGCAAGTCAAGAAACATGAATTTCTACTTTTATTACTAATTTTATGTTTCTTCGTTGACATTCACTTAGTACCCAATTGCGGAAGACTGACACCAAAGCGTTGATTTTATAGCTACAGGTGTATACGCTGTTTTTGAGTTTGCCTTTTGTATTTGTTGTTTTTTACTTAAGGTAACGCTAATGTACGCTGTTAGTATATTTTATAGCTTCTTATTTCCCCGACTTTATTTGTTATTTTATTCACCCTGAAAAATATGAAAATTATTATGCACATTTTTTAATGGAATTCCCCTTATCCCAAATGTTGTTAAAAAATTATTATGATTTTATTTAAGTTTTTATACGCATGAAGTATTGGTGTAGATGGAATATTTGTGTTTTTTCGGATGTATTATTGTAGACTTGTCAATAACTTTTTATGTACCTAATTTCATCTTAAACATCTCCAACGAATTTTATACGCGGCCAAGAAATAAAAAAGTTCCATTATTCTTGTAATTAAAAGTGCGGAAAATGAGTGAAATGAAGTTATAAATCTCACTATTTGTCTGAGGGATATTGTGAGGTATAAAGTTGTTTTAAAAGAAATCAGCAAAAATATATATTTCATCATCCCAGTCGACCGCTGGTTACCTTTTGGTTACCATTGCCTATTGCCATTCTAAAGACCTGGTCTGATCGGCATCCGAACTTATAGGAAGAAAATTTTTCTAATGCTCCACGGCGTGGTAGGTTAATTGCCGAAAATGGAAATCCTTGAGTATGGTCGTCTTGCCAGTCCTGTTGTGTTTGCTTAAGAGCTAAGCATTGCAAGAAAAGCAGTTTGAAATCACTTGAAAAAGGCCGGATAAACAAAGAGGCTTGATGCCGTCAACGGTTTGCTGCCGAAACGTAACAAAGTCGAGCCATTTCTTAACTAAATGGTAACTGGTGGTAAAAAATGGTTCACGGTCGTGGTCAAAGGGTTTGGCACAAATGGTATCCAGGCCAGGAGTAACGGCCACGAAGGTTTTGA